CTTGCCTGACTTTGATGCCTATGATCTGAAAATTACTCTGATGAGGGGCTGGAGAGATGGCTGAGTCGTTGAGAGCACTAGCTGCTCTACCAGAGGACCCAGGTTTCATTCTGAGTACCAACCCGAAAGCTCGCAATGCCTGTGACTCCAGTTCCAGGGGATCTGACACACCAGAACATTCGGGCTTCTGCACGCAGTGCACAGACATACATTCAGGCACTACACCCATACGCATAAAACACAGTGATGGCTTATTATTGTAACGGTGTAGGTGTTTTGCCTGCATGTATATCTGTGCACCACATCTGTGCCTGTTGCCCTCAGAGGCTGGAACAGGGCACTGGATCCCCCTGGAAATGGAGTTACTGGTGGTTGTGAGCTGCCATGTGTATGGGGACTTGAACCCAGGTCCTCTGGAAGAGCAGCAAGTGCTGTTATTGCTGAGCTATCTCTCTAGTACCCAGATAGTAGACATTTAGAAAAATGACTTTCACGATCCTGTGTGTGTATGTGTGTGTGTGTGTGTGGGGGGGGGGTTTACATGTGTGTAAAGGTGAGCGTTCCTGTGTCTGGGTGTGTGGATGTCAGAGGTCATGACAGGGTGTCTCGCTCTATCATTTCCCACCTTATTTTGAGGCAGGGTCTCTTACTGAGCCTGAAGCTTGCTCTTTCAGCTAGACTGGATGGCAGTTGAGCTCCAATCTCCCCACCCCAGGGGTCTGAGATTGGGCTATATTTTTAGCCCCGAATATGACCCCTTTTAAAAGTTTTATCATTTTTTTCTTTTTTGAAGACTGACCGGCACTTGTGGTGCTGTGGCCTCGGCCTCCCTAGTGCTGGCATTACAGGTGTGAGCCATCACACCAGGGACAACCATACCTTTCCATCTGTCAGAACTTAATCTTCAGTGCTGTCGCGCTGACCCATTGTGGTATCCTCGACTCTGGGAATATGCATAAGAAACTATGGTCTGCTGGCCAAATCCAGTCCACTACGGATTCATTTTTACTTTTTGTAGGTGACAGGACCTAGAGTGCTCCCCAGTAAACTATATTCCTCAGTGCTCTCTCTCTCTCTCTCTCTCTCTCTCTCTCTCTCGCTGTCTTTTTTTCTCCGGTTCGCTGTGTAGACCAAGCTAACCCTGAACTCATGATCTTCTTGGCTTTGTCTCCCAAATTCTGGAATTAGAGGTATGTGCCACTAAGCCTGTTACCAAATTTTCTCTTTCTCTCTCTCTCTTTTAAGATTTAATGTGCCAGGCAGTGGTGGTGCACACCTTTAATCCTAGCACTCAGGAGGCAGAGGTGGGTGGATCTCTGAGTTTGAGGCCAGCCTGGTCTACAGAGCTAGTTCTAGGACAGCCAGGGCTGCACAGAGAAACCCTGTCTCGAAAAACAAAAACACCAACAAAAGGATTTATTTTTATTTTCAGTTATATGTGTGTTTATGGATGAGTGGCAGTGCCTGAGGAGTCCAGAAGAGGCTGGCAGATCTGCCAGAGCTGTAGCCATGGCCATTGTGAGCTGTCCAGGCTGGTGCTGGGAGCTGAACTTAGGTCCTATGCAGCAGTGATACGGAGCCATCTCTTCAGTCCCTCCGATTTTTGTTTTCATAGATTGTGAACTAAAAATACCTTATAATTTCCCCCTCAAAAGCTAATATTTTAAATATTATAATTTTTAATTTAAATTTATATTTATAATTTATTCAATTTACATCCAGATTGTAATCCCTTCCCTTGGCTCCTCCTGGTCCTGCCCTCCCTCCCCCTTCCCCACTATTCCCCTCCCCTATTCTGCAGAAAGGGGGAGCCCTCCTCCCCTACCATCTGACCCCAACCTATCAAGTCTCATTAGGGCCGCCTGCATCCTCTTCCTCTGTGGCCTGGCAAGCCCCACCTCCCATCAGAGGGAAGTGATCAAAGAGCAGGCAACAGAGTCCATTTCAGAGACAGCCCCTGCTCCCCTTACTAGAGAAGCCACACATAGAGACTGAGCTGCCTATTGGCTATATCTGAGCAGTGGGTCTAGGTCCTCACCATGCATGTCCTTAGTTGGTGCACCAGTCTCTGCAGGACCCCATGGGCCCAGATACATATTCTCATTTTTATGAAATTCAAATTTCTGCATCCATGATAAGCTATTGTTAAAGGCTTCCATGCCCCTTCATTTCCAGTCTGTGGCTGTTTCAGACTTACTATGGCAACTGAATAGTTTTGGCAGAATCCTTGTGATAAGAAAAGCCTCAAGAATTTACTGTCTTGACCTTAATAGTAAAAGCCTGCCAGTCCTTGGCATTGAGTATCTGTGCTGTTTACTTAGAGATTTAGTGTTCGGAGCAGGCGTGTGCTTCAGTAGTGCCCCTGTCTAGCATGCTCAAAAATAAACAAACAAACAAACAAACAAATATCAGGGTTCAAACCCATACCCACAGAAATTAAGCATAGTGACTCATGCCTGTAATCCTAGCAATTGGGCGGTGGAGTCAGGAGGATTAGAAATTTAAGGTCATCTTTGACTACATAGTAAGTTCAAGGTTAGCCTGGGCTACATGAGACCATGTTGCATAAACAAACAAACAAAAAAAACAAGCAAGCAAACTACCTCATGGAACAAACAAGAAATTCTCAAAGTTCTTGGGGCTTTCTGTAAATGAGTTTGGCTAATTATATCAGCTTCTAAGCACTGTGGCAAAATAGCTGAGATAAAAATCCCCTTCAGGAGCTTGCCTCAATAGCCTAACTTCCTCCCACTAGCCCTACCTCCCAACAGGGCCAGGACCTTTTAACACCACACCATTTTAACCTTTATCACTTTCTTAAAAAGAGGGTCTTAAGATGTAGCCTTAACCAGGCTGACCTTGAACTAGCAGCCATCGCCTGCCACTGTCTTCTGAATGCTGGGATCACAGGCATGTGCCACAATGCCCAGATGTTGTTACCTTTCAAAAAATACGTTTTGATTTATCTTGTGTGCATGGGGCTGGTATATGTGTATGGGCATCAGAGGCCTGCTCATACACCTTTAATCCTAGCACTCAGGAGGCAGAGGTGGGTGGATCTCTGAGTTTGAGGCCAGCCTGGTCTACAGAGCTAGTTCTAGGACAGCCAGGGCTACACAGAGAAACCCTGTCTCGAAAAACAAAAACACCAACAAAAGGATTTATTTTTATTTTCAGTTATATGTGTGTTTGTGGATGAGTGGCAGTGCCTGAGGAGTCCAGAAGAGGCTGGCAGATCCGCCAGAGCTGTAGCCATGGCCATTGTGAGCTGTCCAGGCTGGTGTTGGGAGCTGAACTTAGGTCCTATGCAGCAGTGATACGGAGCCATCTCTTCAGTCCCTCCGATTTTTGTTTTCATAGATTGTGAACTAGAAATACCTTATAATTTCCCCCTCAAAAGCTAATATTTCAGTTCTCTCTTCCATTCTGTGGGTTCTGGAGATCAAACTCAGGCTGTTAAGCCTACCTGAGCAATCATGCTGGCCCATGAGTGCACATATGGGCACATGAACCCACATCATAGGCACATGCATATACATACACACATATACACATGCACACACGCACATACACACATGAACTACACACTCACATGCACACACATGCACAGAGAAAGAGACACAGAGAGAGAGAGAGAGAAACATGAAGTTCTTCAAGGAATGGTGGCATTTACCTTTAATTCTTGTATGCAAGTGGCTGAGGCAGGAGGATTACCATGAGTTTGAGGCCAGTCTAAGTAGTAAGCCAGGCAGGGATAGAGTTGAGATTCCGTTTCATTAAAAAAGAAAAGAGAAGGAAGGAAGGAAGTCATAGTGTCAGGCTAAGCTATACTTCATTTTTAAATTGAGAATACGCTTTTTCGTGTGATTAGGCTATTTAATTTTTATCTGTCCTGATGTGCATTATTTAATTATTCTTTTGAATTATTTCTAAGGCATTTAAAAATATAGGAAAGAGCCAATGGAAAACAAATGGTCAAGCCCAGCATCTTGATGCTTGTCTCTAATCCCAGCCCTCAGGAAACAGGGGAAGGCAAATTTCTGTGAGTTTGAGGCCAGCCTGGAGTATAGAACGAGTTGCAGGACAGCCAGGGATAGGTAGAAAAAGCCTGTCTCAAAAGAAAGTCAGCTGAACAGTGTGATTGTAGCAGGGATATAAAGAGCTTGTGGCCAGCCAGTGAGACTCTACATAAATGACTAGTTTTAGTGATGCACAGAGACTATGTGTTAGCAGAGTGCTGGGACACAAATCTCTATCACCTCCCCCACCCCCTTCGGCTCAGGGACCAGCTTGGAAGAGAAGGTGAAAAAGCAGTAAGACCAGACAGAGGTCAGGGAGGAACAGAGCAAACACTGTCTTCTGCCAGGCCAGGCCAGGCCAGGCCAGGCCGTCTGCACTTGGGAACTAACAGCAGCTGTGGTTGCAGGCACATGATCAAGCCGGTCACCTTCCAGCACGGACTGGAGGGGACAGATCATGAGCCCCCGGAGCTCAGTTGAGGCGCTACTGACAGGTGGCGGAAGGGAGAGTTCTGTCTTCTTTAAAGCCGTGGACTCTGCTAAGGCCACCTTGCTTCCCACCTGAACTACACAAATTGGACTCCATGGGTATAAAACAACAAAAAGGAAGAAAAAAAAAAAGAAAGAAAAACAGAAATAGAAAAGAAAAAAAAACAAACAAAAAACAACAACAAAAAAAACAGTAATACAAGGCCAGGGTGGGAGGAGTTAGGAAGAGGAGTGAGGGTTGAATATGATAAAAAAACAAAACAAAACAAAACAAAACAAAAAAAACACCGTATTTTTCTCAATGATTTAAGAAAAATACATTTTGAAAAGGTTTCTGAGCATTTTTCTCTGCTTCCTGACTATGGATTAAAAAAAAAAAAAAAAGATTGTTTTACCCACGTTTTAAGAATCATTATGTCTCGGGTGTCGCAAAGATATTACAGTTTCTGAAATCAGTAAAAAGTACTTCAATACAGAAGAGCATCAGACTCCTTAAATAAAAAGCCATAAATTTATTGTAAATCTAGAAGTACCGGAATGTCACTCATACAGAACAAATCATTGGTCCTGTGGTGGTGTTTACTTTTCCTTCCCGACAGTTACACCCCTGATTGCTGACATACTGAAATTGGCATACATTTTCTTGTCTCATGCAGTAAACAGAATAAACTCAGAGTAGATCCCTCAGAAATCAGTTATAAATATTAAATCGTATCGAACATCCGCAGTACAAAATAGGTTGTAAAGTGCTGAAGTCTCGAGAGTCTGCGGAGCCGCCCACGGCGAGCCCCACAGAGCTTTGCTACATCCACCTGGTTTTGGGTGTGCACGCTCTTTTGTTTTTTGGACAGACACGGTGGTCTTCGAGTCCCTCCCCCTCCCCAGAGTTTTACAGATTGTCCTATTTCTATGGCTGCTAAGATGCTGTATAAAATGTGGCCGGTGGTGACAAACTACACCACTCTCCTCAGTGCAGAGAAAGGTTCAAGCTTGTGTGGACCTGTCAGCAGACGAGGCTTGTTCTAAGTTCCCCCTGAGTTGTCATTAACAGTAACGACGAGGAAAGACTGAGCAGCAAGCATCGGCCACTCCATCGGGGAGATACAGTCAAACAGGCGAGGACGCAGCCCCCCTCATCCTCACAGTGTCCCCTGAACAGAGAACTGCTAGAATGCAGGACACTACACACACGTAGTGTAACTCGCCAACAGCAGTGACCAGGTACCTGGTACCCATGGCAACTTAGGACAATCAAGTTCTACGGAAGATGTAAATTGCAACTTGTGAAAGAGATGTAAGCATTTCTCCTACTTACAGTGAAATGAAGATAATGCTTCAACAATTAAAGACTGAATAACAACAACAACAAAAACCACTGGAAATGTTCCAACAATTCAATGAAATATATCTGATCGAAGAAGATGCTCAAGTATTCTTAGGTGAGAATTTAAAAGCTGAGGCGGTTTGCTATCTGTCACTTCCCTTCCCCACTTTAAAGGGTACACGTTGCCTCTTATGTATGCAAAGAATCACTACAACCTGGCTGTGAAAACTGACCTTATGAGACAAGAAAAGCTCTCTGAAGTATTTAAAGAGCTGCAGATAGGAGGTTAAAAAATGCTGTGCATACCTCAAATCACTGTTTATCGATTTTCATTATTATTGGTTCTTTTTCCATTTGAAATTTGTGTGTGTGTATACGTGTGTGGACCCATGCATGTTATAGTGCGGAGGTCGGAGGACAGCTTGCAGAAGCTAGTTCTCTCCTTCGACCACGTAGGTTCTAGGGACTGAGTCGGGTGATCAGTCTTGGTGGCAAGCACCTTTACCTATTTAATCATCTCACCGGCCCTTTCTTTTGATCATTTTAATATCCTAGAATAACTTAATAATAAATAGTGGTTTAAATTAAAGACACAACAGTCACTCATTTCTTGAATTATGAAAAACAGGAAACATGAATACAATTTAACATTTCTATTGAAATACTTATGGTGATGACTGGCCATAAAAAAGTAGTAATCTCCACATTTATGAAGTTCAAGTTGTTATATGTGTTTAATTTTTTTGCATATTAATCAGATGCTTACTTTTATAGCATTGCTTTCTTTCCATGCAGTATTTAGGAAACTCAGAAGCCATAATTTGTCAATGTAAACGTTAGCAGTTTCTCAAATTGCTTAAGAAAATAATTTACCTGTATTTCTGAAAATTAGCAACCTTTTTAATGATTCAAGACTGCTCTTTCTTTTTGGAATGGCCAATTCATTTCTATGACTTGGGCTGGGTGTCACTTTATAAAATAGTAGTTCATCACGTGAGTGCTTTTAACACCAGTTTGTTCAATTCATGGCATTGTTTTAGCGGTGGGATGTGAGCCAGCATCCTTACACATATCTCTGTATTGCTACTGAACTGGGCTGGAATCCTGTATGGAAAAGTGTTTGGTTGTTTTGGTTTTGGCTTAAAGAACAAGCAAAGGGGGCTTAGGGGAGAGACAGGTGTTGGTACTGCTGTTCACACATGCATTCCCTTTGTGCAGTTTGAAAGGTGGGGTCTAGTGGTTGGCGCCTGCCCCTCCCTGCATCCCCAGGGGCTCCTTTCCCAGGCAACATAGAAGCTATGACATGAAAATGTGTCACACTGGATCCATTTTTATATGAACCCTGGGCTCACATTTCCCAAGATCCATTTCCAGAAAGTCTTCAGGTATGTCCTGTAATGCTTTCCTGTGATGGCTGCCTGTCTGGTTTTCACCTGAATGAGGAGGCTGGCACAGACCCTTTTTGCAGGGTCTTACCAGGGCGAGGCACACAGCAGCCACAAACATGCCTGCTGCACAGGAATAGAAGGCTCTGCTGTATATCTTGCTCTGGTCAACCAGTAGGCCTGGAAGAAAGCATCGACACCATTAGTGACATCATTCCCCCACTCACCTGGGCCCCCATCCAAGAAATTCTCCATTTCTTAACTTGACCCACCATCTTATTTTATTTTCCAGGCAGGGTGTCACACAGGGTGTCAAACTACCCTGAAGCCCGCTGTGTGGCTCAACCTAGCCTCAGACCCGCCGCAGTTCTTGTGCCTCTGTCTGCCAGGTGGTGGGATTACAAGCACGAACCACCATGCCAAGTGACCTTCCTTCTTTGATTTTAATTTTCTGAAGAAAAATTAAATCTAGGCTAGGCTGGAGAAAGAAATCAAACACACAGCACACTTAACACCTTGGAAAAGTGAGTTTAAGTTACTAACTAGTTCTTCATGGGCTACATCCATCCCATGGAGAATCAAAAATACAGGCCTATTAGGTGCCTGTCAAAAAACAGATACGTTGTTTTCACGTCAAGTAGCACAAGTCTAAGGAACACAATTTCTAATCACAGGAGTTCATTTTTTTTTTTTCTGAAACAGAGCTCTGGCTGGCCTGGGACTTACTCCATAGGCCAGACTGGCCTTGAACTTACAGGGATCTACTTGCCTCTGCCTCTGGAGGGCTGGCATTACAGGTGTGTACCACCACGCCTGGCTTTAGTCACAGAAATTGTAAGGACATATCAAAGCCAGGATGTGAAACATGGTTTGTCCCTGCAACAAAGGAGCATTCTGTATTTACCAGCAAAGCTGTCGGGACGGTTTGGTGGTTTGCTGCCCAGCCTGACAACCTTCGTTCAAACCCTGGGACCCACGTGGTGGAAGAAGAAAACGGACTCCCTCCAAGTTGTCCTCCGACCTCTACATGCATTCCATGGCACATGCACACTTACTAATAAATAAGGAAGAGAGCAGTTTGGTTACCTGCCAGGGGTGGCCCTGCCAGCCCTGAAATGCTCTGAATGAAGACATAGACTCCAGCTGCAGATGGCATTTTCTCGATTCCAACGACGTCATCCTCAGCCAACAGTGGAATATGGGTCCCTCCAATGGTCCCAACCATAATGCCAAAAAACACACTACACAACATGAGGCCCCAGAACTCGGTAGCAAAAGTGAAGGCGAAGAGGGACACTGTCAGTAAAATGACGCAGATGAGTTCAATGTAGATCTTGCGAATGGGCTCTCTGTTGAGGATGAACCCAGCCCCGATCCTTCCGAAGACTTCAGCAATGGCCATTGTAGATAGTAAGAAAGCAGCGCGGTCAGGGTCGATGCCTAGACTGATACCCAAAGGAATGATATACAGGGAAGGCGCAAAGAAGCCCAGCGTGGCGAAGAGGCCAAACAATGCGTAACAAATGAAGCTTTTCTCTCTCAAAACAGAAAAGTCTAACAGCGGGGCTTTCTTCTGGCCGAGCTTGGGGCCAGCCACCAGGGTCAGCTGCTGTTCAGCCCTGGCTTCCTGCTCTGTGTTAGCTTGACTAGGCACATTTTTTGGTGAGGTAGTTAGTTCTACTCCTGAGTCGATGGAGTCTATTGAGGTCCGTGTTTTCTCATTTTCAAGCATGTATTGCACTTCTCTCCGGGGTTCGTGAGTGATTATTTTCGGCGACCCTGGCCCTTTGATGATAATTGGTTTTAGCAAGGCGCCACAGACCAGGATGTTCAGCTGCAGCAGGCCCACGAAGAGGAGGCTGTATCGCCAGCCAATATGCTCCTTCAGGGCTGTGATGGCTTGAAGAGACAGAAGCAAAAAGAAAGAAAAATCCAGGGTCAGTAACAGACTCTAACATTCAACAGGCAATAGCCAGGAGAGATATGGAGAAATTTTTAGTAATAAATTTTGCTCAAACTTAGGGCAAATGCAGTCATTCTAGACTGCCCTTTTTTGGTGGGGGAAGGGGAAGGGGTGAGTAAGTGTGGAGTTGTATGTAGAGGCCAGAGGGCAGTGCCAGGTGTCTTTCTTGATTGCTCTGTCTTGTTTTGAATGCAGTGGTACGGAGGATTAGGTTTCAGGCATTTCTACCACTGAGCTACAATCCCAGCCTCTCTATTCTTGGAGAGAGACTCTCACCCTGAACCTGGAACTCAGCACGACTGGCTGCTCCCTGGGATCTAGCCCGTCTCCAACTCCCCACAGCTGCGGATATACGCATGTTGTCGGCACACCAGCTCTTTACATGGCTGCTGGGGGTCCAAAGAGAGGGCCTCATGCTTACAGTGCACGGCAGTATCTCCCCAGCCCCGCAGACTGTCCTCTATTCTGGGATCTGGTGCATTTTATGAATGAGTAAAAAAGATGTGCACACTTATTGTGAGCTCAGGGTAGTGGGTTTTTATAGGCAGAGGCCTAAGAGGAAAGATAGGTCTGTAACCTAGATTAAGGTTCAACAAACAATAGCCCACAGGCCAAATCTGACCCCTGTCTGTTTTTCTTAATAAAACTAACTGGACTGGAATTGAACCATGTTTGTGCACGCACAGAGTCTGTGGATGCCATTGTGCCAAGACAAAAGAACTGAGTAGTTCTAAGACACACACATATGAACCCCAAAGCTGAAGGTATCCCCAGGGCTGAGGGTGTTTCTTAGTGGTAGAACACTTGCATGTAGGAGGCTCTGAAGTTTTGTTTGTTTGTTTTGGTTTTTTGAGACAGGTTTCCCTGTGTAGCCTTGGCTGTCTTGGACTCACTTTGTAGACCAGGCTGGCACTGAACTCCCAGAGATCCACCTACCTCTAGTCTCCCAGAGTGCTGGAATTACAGGTGTAGCCAGACTGTGAATTCCACCTGCTTTTCGGAGTTATAAAGGGTAACGTTTCCTCTCACCTGCCTCTTTTTTTGGACCAAAGTCCTAAGCGCCCTGCCCTAACATCCGGGCTTTCTCACTGTGTCGCAAGGACTCTTTCTGCAGGCCTCCGTTGTGCATCTTAATCCAAAAGACACGTCTTATCCTAGCATTAAAGGGGACGGCGCTGCAGTTTCTACCTGATTATGTCCTTAGCAACCTGGGGGCTAACCTCTCTCACTGTGAGCCCAGGGCAGAGACTGCTGACCAGAAGCAGCTTGGGGGGAGATGGTCAAAGAGGGCATGAGTCTTAGAACAGTAAAACTGGGTACCCCACCTCCTTAAAAGACCTTTTTAGAGATTTTATTTATTTTTATTTTATGTGTCTAAGACTGCACATCTATGCAACCACGTGCATGGCCCTCGGAGGCCAGAAGAGAACAGCACATCCTCCAGGACTGGAGTTAGAGACGGCTGTGAGCCTCCACGTGAATTTGTGGGTGCTGGGAATGGAAGCTGGGTCTTCTGCAAGAGCAGTCGGCCCTCTTGATCACCGTGCCATCTGTCCAGCTCCTCATGGAATGTTTCTTAAGTATGAACCAAGTGTCAGGAGCGGTGCCGGGCGCCAGCTGGGCAATACAGGATTTATACGCCCAGGGCACTCATAGTTCATGGATTCCTTCTCTGGTCAATGTTTTTTTTTTTACTATTATTATTATTATTATTATTTAAAAAATAGAAACAGGGAGAGAATGGCACATATGCTCACCCTTCACCTAAATTCAACAATTAACATACTTTTTCTCTGATTCTCTGTCTCTGTATCTCTCTGTCTCTGCTTCTCTCTCTCTCTCTCTCTCTCTGTGTGTGTGAACAGACAGTTATCTGACACCATCTGAAAAGCCTCAGGTATTCTAAGACTTCGCCCCTAATCACTTCTGTTTGCAATCTTGTAACCCAGCAATGAATTCAACAAGAGAGAGTGTCAGGCTGGGGTGCAGCTTAGTGGCAGAATGCTAGCCCAGCATGCATTTGACCCCCAGCAAGGAGAGGGCAGGGCAGGGGATGGGGGGGGCGCAAGGGGGAAAGGAGGAGAAACAAAGGAATTAGTCTGGGAGGTTATCTATCTATCTACTACTTCACTTTCTTTTGTATCTCATGTAGTAAAGTTGGGGAAATAAATCAGGATAAAGGGTTGCTGTGAGATTACTCTTACACACTTAAGAAAACTGATTTTGTTGGCATAATTTACATTTCCACTGACTGTAGCTCTTTTGGAAAGGGAGCGATAATAATATGAGCAGTCCAACTTATTAAATAATTTAGGGGTTATCTTTTTGTGTTCCAAGAAAAGCCTTACCACTGAGTATGTACTCATTTATGTAAATTTGGACTAAGAGATGGTGTGAATTCCTAAAAAATGGGAGAGGGAGGATATCCTAAAAATGTGCTGAAGAGAGAGAGCAAGTGACATCTCGTTACAAGCCGGCCGAAGTTGGTACAGCAATAGCACCAGGCTGGCTTCCCCAGATTAGTCCCCCACTCATGAGCACTGTCACTCACATACCTGGCGCAAAAGCAAACACAGCAAAGCACTCTCCCGTGGACGCAACCGCAGTGACTACTGAACGCCTTTTGTCAAAGTACTGTGACAGAATGGTGACAGTTGGGAGGAAACTAAAGCAGTACCCCAAACCTGTGGGTGAAAATCAAAAGGGCCGGTGAGAACCAGACAGGGTCTGAGCCTGGAGGGTGTGGTCAGAGAGCAGGGGGCTTTGTAGAAGTTGTAAGTTTCAGGAGCCAGGCCATTCGTTCTGCAGAGAAAAATAATGGCAACGACAATGGCTTTCGTCTCAGATCTGGACGGCTGCAGGTGTAGCTCAGTTGCCACAGTGCGTGTCTAGCTTGCAGAGCCCCAGGCTCAGTCCCCAGTACCACGTAAAAGTGGCTATGGCAGTGCACACCTGTGCACTCAGGGAGGTCAGGAGTTCAAGGTCACCCTTGACCACTGCATAGTCATTTAGAGGCTAGCCCGGGATACATGAGATTGTCATAAAAAAAAAAAATACATGCTGCAACAGTCATTTAGGGGACTAAGATAAAAGAGCTAAGGACTGTTGTCCAGGGCTCCCCAATTTTATACAATTCACAATGGAATAAATGACCCAAAGTAGTATTTTTAGCATAATATTTGTATTTGGAAATAAGTCTTTATCCTTTTTGAGACATGTAGCTCAGGCTGGCCTCACACTCATGATCTCCCTGCCTGAGCCCACTCCTCGAGTGCTGAGATTACAGGCACGTGTCATCCTGTCTGGACAACTAAGTCTTCCAATGTGCGCAGAGCTCTCTATAAAATTTAAGATATGCTAATTGGGCACACATACATATTACCTACCATCAGGGTCTCCTCAGGCACACCCAAGAGTTAGCCCAGCATCCTGCTTCCCCTTACAGAGCCCAGGGCATCCAGGCCCCACTGTGAAAAATGCTGGCATGAGAACTTAAAAGTTTTATGTTGTGAAAATGATGCATTTTGGCTTCAAACTAGAGCGAGAAGAAAAGTTCTCTTTACCATGAGTAAATTTTTTTTTTCTCCCTAAGTAAACAAAAGTTCCCAGACACTTGAGAATGTATTTTTACCTGGGGACCATATCACCTGGTTAAAAAATTACTGATCTCAGACATAAAAGGGGGGTGGTGTGGAGGAAAAGAAAAGAAAAACAATTTGGGTTCATCTTCCTCAAGTGATACATGCAGAGGACTCCTGGGCCGGGGAGAGACACCCACCAGAGATGACCCCTATGCAGATGTACATGTGGTAGACCCTTCGGGAGAAGGAGGCAGCAACCATTCCCGTGCTGATCAGCAGCCCTCCTGCCATCACCACCAGCCGATGTCCGAAGCGGTTGCTCAGGACCGTGGAGAGGGGAGCTGTGGGGAAAAGGAACAGGAAGTGACCTGTGACCTTGGGTGTCTGTGCTGGTTTCCCTGCAATTCCTTCCCACAAGTGAACCTGACGGGGTGGTGTAAGAACCCGGTGGGTTTCCTGCAATGGTTATTGGTCAGGTCACAGGTCATTTCACCATCTGTTCAAAGTCAGAGCACTAAGAGCCAGTCCTGGTGGCAGAAGAGTGAAACCTCGGCTACTTAAGAAGAAACCGTGGCTGGGGGAAATCCTGGGCAAAAACTTAAAAGAAGGCTGAAGGATGCAGCTCACAGGATGAGCAGTTGCTACCACTAGTCAGATCCTAGGTTTAATCCCCCTGTACTGTAAGGGCAAAATAACTAGAAGAAAGCAGGGAGCTAACGTATACATAGCTCAGGGGCAGAGCACACAGCCAGCATGAGCAAGACCTCAGATCCCAGCATCCATGCGGGCAGGCATATAAAACACAGTCCTTGCTTACCGTGTGCAGTACAAAATTACATATGCATTGACTCTGTTCTCCAGCACACACTGGCTTTGCTCATGAGCATCTTCCTGGTAACTGTTTGTGTTTCCAGGCTGTCTTCAAAGAATCCTCTCTGTGCTTAAAGTCCTGCTTAGTTTGCTTGGCTGCCCGGAAAATGATACAGGACGAAAATAAGGCCAACTCTCAGTCGCGCTCACTTAAAAGACAACGGCCACGGGACAGCTGACTCCGAGCACCGAGGAACCCTAGTCTGCTTGGCTCCTCAACGCCTGTCCCCGGGACACTGAAATCTAGCAAATTCTTTCCCACTTACATGCGACTTAACACTGGCTGGAGTACAGTAAGATAAGTGAACAGTGGAGGGTTGGTTCAGAGAGGAACACACTAGATAGGCGGGATGGGAAGGGAAAGGAAGGGGTTCTGCTGGAAGCAGTCCACACATTACTGTTCGTTTTCAGAATGTAAACTGAAAAATGTATTTTCTAAACATCTAAAATTGCATATATGTGTGTGTGATGTATGCATGCATGTTTGTGTATGCATGCACGCATGTATGTATGTGTGTGTATGCATACATGTATCATGTGGGAGCACCAGTGGCCCTCGGAAGACAACATTCAGGATTGTTCTCTGCTTCTACCACGTTGGTCTCAAGGATCAAACTCAGATCACCTGCAAGCTTTTACTGACCGCAGCTGCTGACACAAACACGTGTACATAGTGAGATCCTGTCTCAAAAACAGGATAGAGCTGCCTTTTAGGACACATTATGGCTAAAGTGGGCTGCATACAGCGAGGGCCTCTAACTCTGGCAGTAAGGTCACCGGTGGTGTTGCATAGGGCATGAGTCACTGGAAGTTGAAAGGCCGGCTTCCTGAGGCGAGCTCAGCATCCTGGCTTCTAAGGAAAGCCTTGGGGTTGCTGTTCACAGACAGATGAGCATGCATGTTTAAATCAGGCCCATCCGAGGGGGAAGTGAATGTGTTAAAAGTGGCACTAGCGCCCTGCCCCCATATTCTTTTAGGCCGCAGGATCTGGGAGTTGTGTGATGCATCAGTAAAGCGTTTTGGGGAATCAGGTGATGGGATTCAGTGTCTCCTCAGGATAACATTTATAATTTCACAAGTGGTGGGTTAACAGTGATATCTGCATGCATGCAAGTGACTCCTGGTCTCATCATGCTTTCTCTTCAGACTACAACTGGGTGAGCAGCACTGAAGCTTAACACAGTGAAAGAAGAGTCCAGTAGCTTTAGTTTCTAGTACCACAACAACAAAGAAAAAGTACATAAATTATTATCTCATGGGGAATGTTTCAGGGACTCAAATCCACGGGTGCTAGGTTCCTTACGCTGACACAGTATTTGCATGTAACCTATGCACAGCTTCCATATATTTACATCATCTCCAGATCATTTACAATCCCCAAATCAAGGTAATAGTATGCAAACAGTTGTTGCACTATGTTCGGTGCTGTGATGGCACGAGGAAGACGTTTGGATGGGTTAACTATGGTAGATCTAGCGCTGGGCAACAGCCCCGTAACATTTTCAGCCTGCCTCCTGGATGAATCTTTTTTTTTTTAAGATGTATTTTTTTATTTATTGTTTATATAGTAGTCTGCCTGCATGTATGCCTACACGTCAGAAGAGGGCACCAGATCCCACTATAGATGGTTGTGAGCCACCATGTGGTTGCTGGGAATTGAAGTCAGGACCTCTGGAAGAGCAGCCAGTGCTCTTAACCTCTGAGCCATTTCTCCAGCCCCGGCTGGTTGAATCTTAAGTGAAGAACCCTAACTAGAGGGCTGACTGTCTACCCCGTACCCATCTCATCTTTCTTCTTCTGGTGTCCGTACTGAAATGTTTCTACTCTTTCCTCAGCATGTCGCTATGAGCCCAGAGCCTTCGTATGCTAAATGGGTTTCTTTTCAAAAACACAGAGGGCCTGGAGAGGTGGCTTAGCAATTAAGAGCACTGACTGCCCTTTCACAGGACCCAGCTTCAATTCCCAGCACCCACCTGGCAAATCACAAACCATCTACAACTCCAGTTCCAGAGAATCCTATATCCTTGTCTGGTCTCCTTTTGCCCCAGGCACACCCGTGGTGCACAGACATACATGTAGGCAAAACATCCTTAATCATTAAAAGAAGAAGAAGAAGAAGAGGAAGAAGAAAGAAATGCTTTGTGAATCTGCAGGCTATCCTTGCTCAGGAGCCACGTTAACTTGTACCATTCCACTTTTAGTGAACGTGTCTATGAAGCTAGGGCCTAGGGGCTTTTGGGTGTTGCTTTCTTAGCCAGTGACTACATCCTTAGAGAACTGGAGTTTACTTGGAGAACTGTGCTGTGCAACCTCCTAGCACCATGCTCACTATAGATACTTGACTGTTGCTTCTCTTTCTGTGGTGCTGGGAATCGAACCTGGCACCTTACATGTGCTTGTCAAGCACTCTCCCACTGAAGTGCCTTCCAAGCTGCACACCATGCGTGTCTAATACGGGTATTAGATGGCAGGCATTACGTTTGGCAACCATGGCTTTCTCTTCAATGTGTCCTAATTCTTGCTGGTCCCCAGCCCTCTGAAAACTGCATTCCTTAATTGATGCCAGACAGACTTACGAGAGAATCATACGAGAGAATGCATCACAAATACACTGACAACTGTCAGGTAGGCAGGCAGATTAAAAGGACCAGGTGCACAGGCTAAGGCTGTAAACGTTAACACACACGTGGGTACCTTCCATGTACACACCTGCGAATGTTAACACAAAAACTCATTGCTATCACCCGTGTACGCACCTGTAAATGTTAACACAAACACACATATGGATATTATCCACGAAATCTTGCTGTTGGATTCATCAAAACTGTCCATTAAGTCATTAAAGAAGACACCAAATGACTTGATGACGCCATAGGTAAAGACTTCAATGAAGAAAAAAGCCACAGCGACTGCCCATCCCCATCCTCCATCAGGCACTTGGGCATACACATTGGCGGTGGAACAAAGCTTGGAGTTCTTTTGGGTCATTCTTGAGCTGAAATAGAAACATGAAAAAAATGATTCAGACCAGTAATATGAGAGCCAACCATTCTGTCTTCACCTTTGTCTCTTTTGTGGTATAGGGGCTGTCTCATGTAGCCCAGGCTGGCCTTGAATTTGAACTCACTGCGTATCCAAGAATGACCACTGCTGGATACCCGGCCTCCACCCATTGAATGCTGGGATTAAAGGTCTATTCCACCACACCCAGCTGTTTCTAATCACACTTGGCAAAAACATAACTGACAAGAACTATTTATTACATTATTTAAGTCATGTACAGTTAGTACAGTCTTACACAATTTTGTTACTATCTTTGAATTATACATGGGACCCACAAAGACTCTGAAAATAAGACTTCTCTGTCATAATTAAAAGGGAGAAACCACACACAAACACAAGGAACCTGAGCAGAATATCTGAAGGCTCACTCAAGGACACAATGCCCACCAGACCAAGCACTGATGCTGATGTTGAAGAATATAAATTAGGTAAAGAAAATGAATGGGGAGCCGGCTGTGGTGGCACACACCTTTGATCCTGGCACTCAGGAGGCAGAGGCGGGTGGATCTCGTGAGTTTGAGGTCAGTCTGGTCTATGGAGTGAGTTCCAGGACTGCTGGGCTACACAGAGAAACCCTCACTCAAACAAACAAACGAGCACAAAAGAAAGAAAAAAAATGAATTAGCCATGAGGCATGCTTATAGGAAAGGAAGCCAGGCACCGAGAGAAGTCTAGCACATTCTGTGCTCGAGACTTCCTGTTCGCTTGTGCGTACTACCACTGGCCATCTGAACCATCTGGCCGACCCTCTAGCTCCCATTTCCCCCTCAGCAAACAGCATCCTGGTTACTATTTGATGTCCCACGCAGGGTGTCTTCACGGACAGAAGGCAACTCTCTGGGAAACTGCATTTTTTTGAGTTTAGATTCTGTTTCTCTGACTTGATCACCAGGAGCAAATTAATTTCAGAACACATGGCAGAGGGCTGACATCGGCTCCATAGGGGACTACACACCTTCGAGGCCCTGAGCATGTCACCTTACCCAAGTGACTCCTACAACCAGGTGAGCAGTGCTGAAGCTAAACAGTGAAGTAAAAGAGTCTAATAGTAAAAGACCCCCATATTAGAAGACCCTAACAGCCTCTTCACTTGCACAGGCTTTCAAAATGGGCATGTACCTTAGAGGTAAGTAGTGTTACCTCCAATGATAACTCGACCCATCGTTTTAGAGCCCCTGTTGGCAATAAGGACTTTTGCTGGGCCACATATATCAGAAGCCCTGTCTGAGCTACATAAGACCGTATCAAAAACAAACAAAAACCAAAAAAGCCACCCCCCCCCCCGAAAAAACAGACAACAACAAAGAGTTGATTATATCATTGTACACTCAGGAATTGTACACTGGTGGATTTTTCAGGGAATTTACATCACCCTTCTCCTGATCTTAGGTGGCCTCATTCACACAATTAAGGCATAAGGCAAAGATAGGTCTTTGCTTTTCTTTTGCTGACCTTGGCATACAGGGGCCTCACACACCATAGGCAGGGGATCTGTCAGAGAGCTACAGCCCCAGACTTGTTTGTTCATTTTGACTGTCATGATAAGCTGTTCAGGCAGGCCTTATACTTGCGATTCTCCTGCCTCATCTTCCCAGTTAGCTGGCATTATATATGTACTGGAGCAACTTGAAAAACAAAACAAAACAAAAATAACAAGTAAAAAAAAAAAAAAAAAACAAAAAAAAAACCAAAAAACAACACAACCAAAAGTTCGTATGTATGAAATAGACTTGTGAAGTTTTTCGTTTTGTCTTTTCAAGACAGAGTTTCTTTATGTAGCCTTGGTTTTCCTGAACTCACTTTGTAGACCAGGCTGGCTTCTGACTCACAGAGATCCGCCTGGGATTACAGGTGTGCCCCGCCTCGCCCACCTTTTTCCTTCCTTCCTTTCTTTGAAAATGAGCTCTGTGGCCTAGCAGTGATGGTACATGCCTTTCATCCCAGCACTTGGGAGGCAGAAGAAGGCAGATCTATAAGTTTGAGGCCAGCTTGGTCTACAGAGTAATTTCCAGGATAGCCAGAGCTACTTAGAGAAACCTGACTCAAAAAACAAAACAAAACAAACAACTCTGTGGGGCTGGAGAGATGGCTCAGTGGTTAAGAGCACTGGCTGCTCTTCCCAAGGACTCAGGTCCAACTCCCAGCACCCACATGGCAGCTCGCAATTGTCTGTAGCTCCTGTTCCAGGGGACTGGGCACCTGCACAAAGACCTACATGCAGTCAAAACACCAATGTACATAAAAAAGAAAGAGAAATAAATCATAAAAAGCAGTTCTGTAGATGTGAGTGTGCCCATGTGGCACAGCAGGTGAAGTCAGAGGACAACCGTCAGGGTCCGCTCTCCTCTTCCACCATGCAGGTCCTGGGGATGGACACAGGCAGTCAGGGTGGGCAGAAGGTAAACATCTCAGTGGCTCCTAGTTTACAAATCTGAAACAGCAACACACCTAACCTTCATTCACTCATCCGATTGACATTTCCCACAGTAGTCTGGTATTTGAGGGAGCTATCTCCTCATCACCCCTCCCCTCCTCTGGTCCTTTTAAACATTTGGCAGAGTGAAACAGCATGGGGTATTTTAAGAGGCCCATGCACTTAGCAGCAAAGGTCTTTTCACGATGTGCATCATGCGGAAATGAATGAAAAGGCAAGGGCCGGGAAAGAGCCCAGGATGTAACCGGGCGGTTTCAGGACAGTTGTTAGTGTCCCCAACGTGAAAAGCGTTCAATCTAGGATGGGAGTCTGGCAGCAAGGGAGGTTTCCACAAGACTTCATCAGTCAGGTTACCCTGAAGATAGGCAGCTGGGCAGAGTGCGAGTGGCACAACCAAAGTAATTCCTGGTGTTGGCTTTGGGACAGTGGTTGCCCTGGGGGAAGGGCGGCCATAGTGAGTGGTGAGCCATAGCTGTCAAGACCTTGGCCGTCATGTGAGTCTGTGTATTGGACCTTCTCTTTGTGAAGCTCACAGGTCTCTCCTGGCTAAAAAAATCAATCTATTGGCTGTGTGTGTGTGTGTGTGTGTATACACGTGTGCCTCGTTATCAGACCCCAACCTATCTGGGTAGTCTTTTTCCTTCTGGTTCTAAAGCTTGACTCACCTGCTGTAGTAAAAAAAAAATGCTCCTGGGGGCTGGTGTAGTCTCCAGCTACCTTGCCTTTGGTCATGTCATTTCTTCAAGCTGCACGCAGTCTCTACAGTGGCTGTGGCAACCTCCACAGCCCTGCTCCTTCTGGTCCTCCTTGTCCATCAGGCTTCCTCTGATACACTCAACTAAAGTGGTCTGGTCTTCATGTGTGAGAAAATCACTTAATGAGCAATTATTCACTTTCATGCGTTTGTCTCCTTTGCTTAATTAGAGTATAAGGTCACAAAATCTAATTTTCATGCCTTGAAAATCACCTTACACTTAGCTTTTTCCTTTCTTCCATTTTTTTTTTTTCTTTTTTGAGACAGAGTCACATTATGTAGCTCTGGCTGTTCTGTATTGGAACTTAAGAGTATTGTAGACCAGGCTGGCCTCTAACTCAATGAGATCCTCCTGCCTTCCTGCCTCTGCCTCTGAGTGTTGGAATTAAAGGCATGTGACACTATGCTGGGCAAGCACCTAGTTTTTTTCTTTTTGTTCTTTTGAGACAAGGTTTTTCTGTGTAGCACTGGCTGTCCTGGAACTTGCTCTGGAGACCAGGCTGGCCTTGAACTCACAGAGATCTACCTGCCTCTGCCTCCTGAGTGCTGAGGCCAAAGGTGTGCGCCGCCACCACCAGCTAACCAGAATGTTTTAAGAGTCTTAGTGGAGTCCTTGGGACCAACTTGAACAGAAGTATACTGGGATAACAATCCTATGGAGACAAGTCGAGCCTCTGTCCTGATTAAAAGTCTGTATTTTATTTGAATGGCTGGAACCAAACTGCAGCTGTGGTTTGAGCCGGGCTGAAGTTCCCACCAGCACCAGATGGCTGTGTCCTGACAACCTCAAAGTTCTGCTTGCAGCCGCTCAACACTACTCCTAAAAAAAGCCGGGTGGTGCAGGGTTCAACCTATAGCCTTCAAGTGGAATTAGAATTACAGGAGGTTTAAGCTGCAAGGGAGTCCAAAGTCAGCTTGTTCTCCTCATTGGCAAAACAGGGAAACGCATCCAGGGAGGTCAAGGGTTTTGGCTCAAATAGGCCAGAATCAGACTGACCAAGCCAATGGAGCAACTGACTAAAGGGAGAAAAGTGTTTTCTATGTTTACTGTGAGGAAGTGATTTTTGTCAAAGCACCTTTTTTTTTTTTTTTTTTTTTTTGGTGACAGTCTCACATATGCCAGGCTGGCCTCTTGACTACTGTGGAATAACCTTGAACTTCTGACTCCTGTTTCTCCAAGACCTCCCAAGTGCTGAGACTGTAGGTATCACCATCACACTTGGCTTATGCAATACTTGGGACCCAGGGTTTCATTCATGTTACATGGTAGGCAAGCACTCTAGGAACATCCCAGCCTGAGAAAGCACTCTTCAAAAAGAATTTTTTTTTTAAATAATTACATTAACTTATCTATTTACATGAATGTTTCAGGACAAGTGGGGTGTATTCATGCCAAAACACTCAACTTGGGGGAGTTGGTTCTTTCCTTTCACCAGGTGGGTTGTTTTACCTGTGGAGAAACCTCACCATCCCCAAACTACTCTTGACCTCCATGTATAGAGGTCTTGAACCATTTAGACACAGTTGTGTGGCCTGAGGTGGTCACTTCCCATCTCTGGGCCTCTACTACTCTTCAGTCAAAGAGAAGAGACTAGGGAATCTTTCTTGCTGTTTATTGAGACAGGATCTTTCTATGTATCCTAGAACTTTCTATGGCTGTCCTGGAACTTGATATGGATGTAGACCAGGCCAGCCTTGAACTTGTAGCCATCTGCTGGGATTAAATGCACTCCCTCCCTCAGCCAGCAGTGACAGGAGAGTCTCTACGACACCCTCCAGATTTAACAGCTGACACTTTGACTTTGGCTTTAAGCTGTATTCATCAGCTGAGTTTTCAGGCTAAACCTAGTGGGTGGCCTAAGGAAACTGAGCTAGGAGGAAAAGTGCAAACTGTGGAAGGATCTTGCACAAGTGGGTGTGAAGTGGCTGGACATAAGATTTGATCTGTGACAGCTGCCCAGAAGAGCCCCTTCTGGGCCATCAGCTCCTTCACTTAATGCTTTATGTCTATGGCTTTCCGTCCTGGTTAGAGTCGAATGTAGCTTTCACTTGTATTCATGCTTTCAGATCCAGCTAGATACAGAGTTTCAGCAACCCACCTGTCTCAGCCTTTCAAGTGCTGGGGTCAAAGCTATAAGCCAGCCATGCCCAACTAATAGAGGCCTAAGGGGAACAAAACTTGCTTCCTTATTGCTGGGATCATCATAAAGGTAAGATGGCCTTCCCAAATCAACTCCAAAGTTTATTCCTATATGAGCCTGGAGCATCCTATGTCCTGCTATGGTGGCTTTGTGACAGGACCACAGTGCAGCCCAATGACACAGCAAAAGCCTCAGTAGGAGACAATATCTGGGTGTTATATCTGAGATCATGCCTGAAAGCTTGGGCATGGTAGCATGCTCCCTCACATGTGGGAAGTGGAGGCAGCAGGATGAGGAATTCATTCAAGGTCACCTGTGGCCATATAGCAAGTCTGAGCTGGTCTGGGCTGCAGGAATCCCTCTTTCAGGGCCCCGGTCCCTGGAAAAAGACTGCACTCAGCAGGCCGCTACGAGGCAGCCGGCCACTCTTCCTGCACTCGTGCCTGCAGAACACTCTGCGCATCACACATGCTCGCTCAAAGTTTACTGAATAGTCTGGGCACTGTGGCCCACTCAGAAGGCTGAGGCAGGAGGATTGCCAGCTTTCGGTTACACAGCAAGACTCTGTCTCAAAAAAAAAAGCTGAAGTGCAGCCTGGACTACAGTACTGTCTACCTTCTCCTTCCCCTCAAAACAAAAACAAAAAAAGAACTCCCCCCAAACTAAGCAAATAAACGCTAACATCCAACAGAAACATAGCGCCCACCCCCGCTGAAAGTCTGCTAAAAAAAAAAAATAAGAGTCTTGGGACACCTCAGAGCAATGCCTTTTAAAAACAAACGGCAAAGTGAGGCTGTGCCTGGCTGCAGAATAAAGTTATTCCCTCAGCTCTCTTCCTTCTGCCATTTATCCAGTGGGTCACCTGGCTCCATAAACTGCCACACTGCTACACCGTGCACCAAGCTGCTGAGGCCTCACCTTTTAACTCGGTTACCAAAAGCCTCTACAAACTACAGAATGCAAAAGCTACCCGTCCCTTTGGTTTTTCAGTTGCATCTGATGGGAAAGCCCTTGTGGGGGTCTAAATGGCAGCTGGCTAAGCAAGCTGATGGTCTCCTGCGACCACTTCACTTTTTTATTTTCATCTTTCTCGTCCCGCAAGTCCTGGACCTAACTAGTTTCTGGCTCCAGATCTCCTCTCCTAAGAAAAGGCAGTTCCAAGTGTGGCCTTTGACCCCGGTTGGCTCTGAGTTACCATCTACGGGAGCCCAGTGGGTTTATCTTCTGGAAGCCCTCAGGCAATAGTGCTGTCCATCACTACCTGGCAAAAATCTCCTGATGGCTGAATTGCATCTGTGAAGGGAGTCTCTAGGGTATTTTCCTACTGGAAAGCTCTGCTATTCTGAGTGTGCTCCTGTTGTCTTTTCCCCAAGACTCCCAATATCCTTTTGGGAAAAAAAAAAAGGAAGCCAGGCCAAAAAAAGTGAACTAGAAGTTGAAACCAGGCTCCTTTACACAGTTTGGGCTACAGGATGAGTCAGTCTCACTAAATAGGATACAGGAGGCATGCCTTACATAGATGGGTATCCCTACAGGACTTGGGAGATACGTGTTACCTGGACTTTCACTCTGATTTAATCTGTGTAAGGATTTGGCATGAGGGGATAAAGACACTGGATTACCGTACAGCCTCTGGGGTTAGTCTAGGGTCAGGTCTGGATGAAGTTCAAATAACAAGCTTGGAAAGCAAGGAGATGGCCGCTGCTGTCAGCAGAGCAGATACACTGGGAATCTCCTTTAAGGTGTAGCAGGAAGTATACGGCTTCCAACAAGCTCTCTCTAGCCCCAGTTGTCCAGACCAGTCTGCTCTGTGGGGGAAGTTCGTTTGAATTCCCTACTTAAAAAAACCAAAAATCCCAGCCCTAACCTGTTAGGCTGCCTCAGCCACACTGAATGAATCACTGGCTACAACCAATTCAAGACCATTGAGTTGAAACCCAAGCCCCTAATTTAAGTGTCTCCCTCCGTGGTTCCACTGAGGAAAAGTCCTGTTTCTGGAAACCACAGAAGGAAAACTCAGGGCTAGTGGTACTCATTAAGACCATTTTTCCACTTGGCTGCATTGTTTATTTGTACTGTCAGTTTCTTAGACGCCCTTCCCTTAATTACCAGAAAAGGTGTTTCAACTCTTTTCTCCCCAACCCCCAGAGCCACATAATAGTGTTTGGTATACGGGGAGACCTTAGCATAGGTTCTGGCATGTTCTTGTGGCTAGACACTCATCTGTACGGTTTTCAAAAAACACATCACGAAGGCTGAAATCTCAATCCCAAGGTAAAATCCTCCTTCTGCTAAAGGAGCTGGCACAGAGTTTCTAGCTGTGCAAACAGAACCAGCTTCCAGGCTGGTAAGTTGTAATTCTGTTTTCCCAGTTTCTACGATCTACCCCCCTCCCCCACCTCGTGTTTGATGACATTTTACCCGCCACCTAACAAACTTCTACCACTTGTCTGCTGAGGTGCAGGGAATGAAAACAACCCAAAAGGAAATTAACCTATTTCCTCTGCAAAATCCTTCTCCCCCGCCTGGAGCCGCTCAGCTGCACCGACACTTTGCTGCCGCTGGTAGCCCCGCGAACCTTTGTAAGTTGTGCGGGACCGGCTGGCAGGGGGTGTCAGTGCAGACCGTCAAAGGTGTGGGACCCACGCTCCGGAGGGGATCTCTGTCTCCCTCTAGGCTCGCCCTGGGCAAGGCGGGGGCTCACAGGGGATGGAGACCCGGAGTCTCACTTTCCCTCGTGCTGCCTCAGCCGGCCGGCTAGCGCGCGCGAGCCTGGGGAAGGAAGGTACCTCTCTGACATTTCGCTCCGGTGACGCGCAGGCAACTTCAAGTGGAAAATCCACAGGGGGTCTGAGACTGTCGCCCTACTCGCCTCACAGTCTGCTTCCTCTCACCCCGGATTGGGGACGATTAAAGGCCAGGCCACCCTTTAAGGTATTTCCCAGAACCCATCTGTACTAGGGTCATGGACATTCAACTCTCAGCTGCCCACAACTGCCCGAGAGCGCGTCATCCCGGTGGCCCCAGCACTCCCAACTGTCAGAATATTTTTCGGATTAACCTCTTCAAAATGTTAAGTGCTTTCCTCCTCCTCCCCGCTCTTAAAAAAGAAAAAAGAAAAAAAGGCCCCAACACATATTTAAGAAACAAAAAACAAAAAAACACCCCACACCCCACAATCAAACTTTTAAACATGTAAAATAATAAAACCAACTCACCAAGTTAGAAGGGAAGAGAATAAACCCCAAAAGGCTCCCAATAAGGCGGAGGCTGGGCCTCCCGAGCCTTCTTATAAACCGCTCCGTAACATGAGAAAGGTTTAACCCCTTAGGGCGTGGGCCCGAGTCTCTATCAAGTTCGCTCCGGGCGTGGAGCCTGGAGCACCCTGGCCCCCAACCCAAGCCAGCCTCGGCCACCCGGGCCACACCCTCCCCCGCCCACCAACCCTGTCGCCTCCTCCCGGGCTGTGCGTGCCGCCGCCCGAGCCCCGGCCCCTCGTCTCTCTGCCTATCTCTTATCCTATACCGGCTGCAGCCGGTCTCCGCCGGCCTCGGGGGCGCGCCGCCGCCGACCATGTGCTGGGAGCGCCGAGCGCCTGCAAGGAGGGGGCCGGCCTGGTGTGCGCGCGCTGGCCCACGTGGATCGGGGCCGCGCAAGGCACGCGCCCCGCCTGCCGGCTGCCGGGGCTTGGGGTCACGGAAGGTAACCGCGCTGCCACCGCGGGTCGCCCATCCCCGCCGACGCCTCTGGGGTCCTTGGCCCGACGCCCTCATCCCCTCATCCGCGCGTGCCCGTGTGATTCCCGGCCCGATCGGACCCCGGCACTTAGCTGCAGTGCGAGCAGGAGCGCGATCGAGCCCGGGGCGATCGAGTGCACCCCTACATCCCCTCTCGGAGCGCGGCTCCCGGGTCCGCCCGCGCCCTGAGGATTTGGGGAGGCAGTGAGAAGGATGGGGGGGGGGGAGGCGCGCGTTTGGGCTGGTCCCGCGCGTCGCTGGCCCCGGACCGAACAGGTTCCTTCCAGTTTGGATGTGAGCAGAGCACGCGCGGGATCTCGAGTTCCTCCTCTAGCGACCACTTCCCCCCAAAATTTCACCAACTCGCGCGCCCCGCTAGTTCCCCTTCCGGGCGTGAGGGTGTGTGTGTGTGGGAGTGCCGCAGTGGGCCCCAACGAGCCAGGGGCCGGGTTGCTGCGGGTTACATTGCCCCCCCCCCCCCCCCCAGCGTCCCCCCTCCCGCGCGCCTTGGTAGCAGCCGCAGCAGCCACCAGCCGCCAGCATCCGCGCTGCGCGAAAGAGATGGGAGAAGCCTGGCTGAGTCAGCATCCTCTCTCCTCCGTGCGCGTGCACTTGCCCAGGCGGTAGGCGACGCGGGCACAGGTGCATGGCTGCCTTATCCCCGGGAGACTTCTATAGGGAATATGTCGCCCCACATTGCCAAGCCCCTTGACCCCAAGGTCACCATGAACTAAATGGATGCTTCCTGGGAGTTAGGAGTTTCTCCTGGACAGACAAAGCTTGTCAGAAGATTAGGGACTGTTCAGAGCCAGAGGGGGCGCAAAGTTGGACTCTGTCTCATACCTCTAGGGAAAATTTGGGAATTGCTCCACAGCAGAGGCCGCGTTCTCTGCATTTTCCTGCAGACTTTGGCAACCCCCGTTGCTTGGTTGTGGTTCGGAGAATGTCTTTCTGATATTAGGAACTCCAGAGATCCTGCTTTGGGAATGTGCCGGGAGGGTCGCCACAGGGAGGAGCTCCCTCGGCCTGGATTTTAATTAAAGCACTTCTTTGCTCAGTGATGTACCCCACGATGTGGGCATGCAGTCGTCCAAGCTCTGGCGTGGGTTAAGCGGAGAGCAGGTGTATTGGTGCATAACGTGTTCAGCCACTGCAGTTCAGCCAGGCCACCACTGAATCACAGCTGGCAAGTCTGTAGGAAAAACTGAACTTTCCCCCCAACTCAGACAGGGGTTTGGGTAGGCTAGGCTGGCCTCAAACTTATGTTTGAACTCCTGATCCTGTTTGTTTTGTTCTGTTCTGTTTTGTTTTGTTTTTAAGACATGATCTCACTAGCCAAACCAAGACTGGCCTAAAACTAAAGATCCTCCCGTCTCAGCCTCCAAAGCAAGGGGATCACAGGCTTTCATAATCATGTGTGATGCCCAGCCTCATGCCATCTTCCAGCCTCAGCCTTCACAGTAGCTCTGACTACAGGGACAGTACACTCTGCCTGGCTGGAAATGCTTTGTTTATGAGACAGAGCTCAGGCTGATTTGGGCCTTGCAATCTTCCTGCCTCTACTCCCCAGTGCTGGGATTACTGGCATGTGCCAGGACGCCAACCTTTTCAGCTTCTTGACCTTAAAAATTAGACAATGCCTGCATGATTGACTGGATAAAACCAGGTTGTCGGAGGAGGTAACAACAATCAGGTACAATTATTAATAATGCATTACTACTATTTTATTATATATTTTTTACATTTGTGTTAGCCCAAATAGTTAAGTGCCAGCCATATAATTTTATTTTGTTTGTTTGGATTTTTTTTTTTTTTTTTTTTTTTTTTTTTTGAGACAAGGTTTCTCTGGGTAGCCTTGACTGTCCCAGACTCGCTTTGTTGACTAGGCTGGCATAGAACTCTCAGAGTTCTGCCTGCCTGAGTGCTGGAATTGCAGGCATGCACCATGGTGCCTGGCTGTTTGTTTGTTTTTTTTTTTTTTTGAGATAGGATTTCTCTGTAACAGCTCTGGCTGTCCTGGAACTCCATGTGTAGACCAGGCTAACCTTGAACTCGGAGCCTCAGCAAAGGCTTGGGCCACCGTTCCTGGCATATTTATATTTTTGAGATTAAAATCTCATGAGGATGACCTTGAATTTCTGATCTTCTGAACTCACCTCCCAAGCGCTGGAATTATAGGTCTGCTCCATCATGCTTGGCTCATCCTCCTGTGGTCTAGTCCCATCGGTAGCCCTCTTCGAAACAAGGACAGGGTTCCCATTTTAGAGATGAGCCAGGTTGAGGCAAGAGCACCGGTCATGTGACATTTCTAGATACCGCTCCAGGCCTGGTTTGCAACTGGTGCTCCATAGCTGACTTGGACCACTTGCATTTGGATATGAAGAGGTGGCTGGAATCCAGCCTTGCTGGCCACCGGCTGGTGATGACTTTTGCTGGTGCTGGTTAGAGAGCGGCCTCACCTCCTTCCCCTCAACCTTAGTGATCCAGTGAAAAGATGAAAACCTCTGCTTTTCTCACTTCTTTGGAGAAAGTACTGCATTACCATGCGAATCAAAGCCCCCTAACAAAACTAACTTTGTTTAGTCCCAAATAAGAACAAAGGGACCTTGGCAGTCTAGAGTACAGGACCAGGAGGATCAGGAAATTAAGGCTAAGAGCCTGGCCTGTGCCGTTGGCCTCTTCAGTAGGTCAGCGGGAGTCTGTGCAGCAGGCAGAGCCTCCTCTGGCTCTTCCTTTGCTGCAGGCAGGGCAGTAAGTGTGTTGTGAGAGAGTTCCTCAGCATCTTCTTTGGGGGGAAAACAGCTTCCTCAGAGCTGCCCAGGGCTCCCTTTTTTTTTTTTTTTTCCCTAGCCCTCTTGCTTAGGGTCATTTGCATGAGAACAGATTCCTTTGTGCAAAGTTGGCCTGCCTGTTCCCTGTCCACACTTATAGTCCCTCAAGTCTTCGGGTTGGGTTGCTAGGCAGATATGACCCTGGCCTGCAAATAAGCCCATGGCTTTTACCAGCCTGTGAGAACTTCATCTTCGGAAGTAGAGTGAAAGGACGCCCCCCTGGAGCTCAGAGGGAGGGTCCTGCAAGCCTGTGTGGGCTGCTGGGTCTTCAGGGTAGTCTCAGAAAAGGGGAGTGTGTGAGGGGGACCATTAGGAAGGCCCGAGGCCCTCATGGTTCCACCTTCCCTCTTCCTGTCTCCATTCCACCCACCCATCGCTTACCGAAGGGCCTATGTTCTGCTTGAGTGGCTTAGATTGCATTCTAGTTAATTCTTGCTTTAAAAAACAATAATATCCATTTCTCTCGTTGGCGGAGAAGCTCACATCAGTGCCACCTAGGACTCTTCAGTGAACTGAAATATCCAGATATAGGGGCTGTGTGTTTATCCCTGTGGTCTTGACGCCCACGTGATAGGTGGTAGATAGGAGGGCAGGGAAAGTGGATATTTGGAGAGGAACAGCTAGTGATGGTGTGACAGAACTTGGGGTCACAGTCTATACCCCAAAAGGCCAAGAACAACCACCCATCCTTCAGAAGCCCATTAAAACAGCTGCAGTAATAGAAAAAGGAGGAAAGGACCATTTATTCAATATGGTCACATTGGAAAGAGGAATAGAGAGATCTAGTGGGCCCCTATGTCTGACTTAGGTCTATCTTCAGGGTCCTGAAGAGAGAGTAAAGTTTAAATAAAGACCAGGAGACCTCTAAGCAGTCCATATCAAGGTGTGACCCTGCCCATCATTGCCCATCATTGCCCATCATTGCCCATCATCGTCTGAGCTTCACTCCCACCCTCTAAGGCAGTCTGACAAGTGGTTAGATCTGGGAGATAAATTCCTCTTCTGGCTGGTGCCTTTTCCTTCACCCAGCGTGCAGTTCCTGGGGGAGGGGGTCATTAGTCTGATAGTCAGATGGAGAAAGACGTGCGTCTTTTTAGAGTGTCTTCATTCCTGTTGGGTTTGTTGTAACGGATGGACAAGGACAATGATGAAAACAAGGGCAGGGCAGTAATCCCTACAGTGTCTAAAAGCTGGCTGCTGTGTTCGGCTCCCAGAGAGCTTCCTCCCACGAAGTGTCACACATTGTGGCTCTAGGAGTTGCGTAGAATGGAGATCTGTGAAGTGTAGACCAAGCAGAGAGGATCTTGGGAAGTTTCGTGATGGTGGTGGTGGTGGTGGTGGTGGTGGTGGTGGTGGTGGTGGTGGGTGCACGCCAAAGGAGGGATGCACGGAATGACAGGAAGGCAGGAGTGGGTGAGAACATGCTGTGTTTGGGGACAGTGAGGTCACTCACAGCAGTGGAGGGCCTGTGCGTTCTGTCACACCCGGTTATCATTCAGTGCCCTATTGATGGCTTGCCCATGGCTGTGTCTCATTAAGTCTGGAGCAACTCAGATTTCAACACCACCACTTTTCTCTCCCAGCCTTCTTGGTCTTCCCAGTTTACCGCTCCTGTAGTATGTCATCTTCTCAGTGCTTTAAAAAAGGAAAGAAAAAAAAATCATCAACATGAAAGAGAACACAGCCTTGGGCCTGTTGCAAAAGTCCCAGAAAATAAACGTGTATTGTCAGAAAAGTGTTAATCACGTGGCATTTAGGAATGAATCCATTAGATAGTAAATTTTGTAATGTGGCTTTGGGTCATGAAAACTAATCTGAAGTGTTGGAAAGCTATCTATAGAAACACTGCCCTTTGCTC